TACTTAAATTAGTGTTTTTTCTCATTTAGTTATTTCAGGTACCATTGGAAGAGGAAGGACAACGTGGTGGGCCTATTCTTGCACCAGAAGAGATTAAGACTATTTTTGGGAGCATCCCAGATATCTTTGATGTACATACTAAGATAAAGGTAAATTTACATATATTAGGTTGATAGTAATTTTTTTTGGATTGTGTGTATTTATTATCTTTCAGGTACTTCTGATTAGCTAAATAAGTTTTGTACCTAAAACTTCTTACTTCTTCATTTATTCCTTTGAATCATTTGTCCCTTTGTTCCAGTGCCTTATTAATGTTTGTTGTTTGCCTACTTTTTTATTTCAATTAATGCTAAAAATTAGGAATTAAGACCTTATGAAGTCTTTTCTATAGAGACGTGATTCTAGTACTATTTTTCTTATGTTCCTACTGTTATTACTCTTTGGTTGTATATATTTGTTTTGACTTGCTCAAAAAACTCTAAAGCTGTAATGGACTTAAAGGCCATTTATTCTATTCTCCATTTATAGGCAGATAAATGTCAAAACCATACAAAACAATGCTATCTTTTTAATAATTTTTCTTTGATGAAAGAGCCATGATTTCTAGGGTCAATCTCTTATAATAAAGTAATTTTTGGACAAGTGTAGCTCAACTCTTAAACTACTGACTTAGAAAGTAATTTAGCTTTATATCCTCTTATTTTTTCTATGTGGTACTTAAATTTATCAGTTTTCTCCTCAAAATAACCTATGTAAATGTTTATTCTACATTCGATAAAAAAATCTAAATTACAGAATATGTTCAAGCACATTAAATTGCTTTTTTCATTTTAGTGAACATTATAAACAAAAATATAGAAGCTCTATAAGTTAGTAAAAATGCAACTTACCAATTGCTTACATTTTGTATTTTATCAAAATCTTTGATCATGTTTCAGTTAATTTCTAAATCTAAAGGGAACTCTAAGGGAATCTTTATTTGTTCAAAAAGTTTAAGAAGCTACAAAGTTTCAAGCTAGTTTGTCTTTGTTTACAGTTAGGATTCTGAACAATTGGAGAGGGAAGTACTTTTGAAATATTTTTTGTTTTATTCAAATCAATGAGAGGCACAAAAATAGAGTTGAAAAGTCAAGTAGATTTTCATCTTGGTGTTCTGCCACCAACTTATGTATCAATTTGAATTTATGTCACTCATTTAGTTAGGTATTCT